TTCACTGAATTTAACACAAACAGTGAGGCATTACCCTCTTATCCTTGTTTTCATGCATCTTTGTCGCCATTTCTTTGCTAAATGCAGTAAATTTGCAAAACAAATCGGGAGAGTAAGAAAATGCGTCCAATATCTTCGACTAAAGCCGTTGGAATGAGATGTAACCACAACACAAAAGACCTTTACTTCGAAACGTGAGGTCATAATCGGAATGACGTAAGCAAAATCAGGCTGCCCGACTGTCTCCGTAAATCTCCGGATGAGAGACTTCCTAGACGGTCGCATTCGGATACACATGTGTGTTTTAGCAGAATAAATAGAGTATATTCTATTTTTTTTTTAAATGCTGTTTTTAATTCTTTTAGGCCAAATATTTTTTTCAGATTCGCACTTAACCCCATAAATATTTTTGCGTTAACTTGAATCCTCTAACCCCCCCCCCCCAAAAAAAAAATAAATCAACAAAAATTGATCAGATATTTTTTTCTTTTTTTATGAAAATTAGATATGGCCTGGTAGGGAGAGAAATGTGACAAGTCTAGGACGAAGCAACAAGAACCATAAGACAAAAGACGGACAATCAATTAAGCTCAATCGACTTTTTTTCTTCTGTTTTTTACGTTTGAAAATTGAAAATCATATTTATATTACTGATGTAATTATCGTCTTATGGGAATGTATGGCGCAACTAGATCTATGACCAATAACAGCAAAACGTTCGCTGATTTACGTTTTCTGCGACAACTTACACCCAAGAAAATAAAAATTACATTTAGGTATATACATGTATGTAAATTTATATAATATACATGTACATGTATTTTTAGCAGAGATGGACGGGTGTATAAAAAGAGGGTATTAACATGTCAGCATATTTAACCCTCCGTTACCCCTAGCTCCTAATTCTCAAAGAAAAATATAACAAACAAAATAATAATAAAAATCGAACCATTTTTTACTAAAATTAAACACACAATATGAGGCATTACCCTCTTATTTTTGTTTTCCTGCATCATCGTCACCATGTCTTTGCAAAAAGTCAAAGTTTATAAAAAAAAATCGGGAGAGTAAAATATTACGTCCAATATCTTCGACTAAAGCCGTTGGAATGAATCGTTACCACAACACAACGCCTCTCCTACGAAAAGTGATGTCACAATACTGATGAGGTATGCGAAATAGTCAATCGGTCGGCCCTTTCCGTCTTCGCGACTAGACGGAAAAAGCCGAGTGGTGTTCCGATTTTTCGTTAGTACGCTCTACACAATTTCTATTGACTTTTTCCATTTTAATTTTTAAAAATTATTATTTTTTTAGGTGTAAAATATGTTAGGGAAATAGGTTATTTATATATGATGAATAAACTACCATAAAACTTTAAAGTATTATGATTGTTTCATAAAATACCATATAATCCCTATTAACCGCCCCTGTCCCTATAAACGCCCCTCTAGGTCTTTTTTAATTGTCAGGAAATAAGGGCCCCCTGTACAGTGATTAAAATCATCTAGAATCGTATCAAAAGTCTGCAAAGATTTGAAGAAAGTGAAAATGAAACTTTCTATAATCCAATTTCTTGGTGGAAAATGAATCATTTAGCATAATATGGATGGATTATCTTCACTTAAAGTAAAGATAGACATATTTTAGTGTTTCTTTGAATTTATTTTTTTTTTCAAAAGATTTTTTGAATTTAAAATATGACATTAAATTTTTGGAGGAGAATACCAAAATAACCGCCCCCTTTTCGCAATTTTCTAAGCGCCCGGGGTGGTTAATAGGGATTATACGGTATATATTTTAATGCTTTGGATTTTGCATCACAGGCAGATGTTTCGTATACGGGACACCCATATTTATTTGTACCTCAATTCCAGGAACCCCCGCTTCAGCTCGTATAAATTTATACACCCGCTTGAAAAGCAGGGGGAATATAGTGATCATTATCTCCGTCCGTCCGTCCGTCTGTTACGTTTTGGGATACCCATCTCTTATCCACAACTCCTCTTATACCATGTATACCACTAGCTGAAATTCAATGAAACTATCACATAAATTTTGTTACATGGTGCCACTGTGCACTTCCTATTTTACTTTTTGATCGGACATAAAAAGTTGAGAAAGAGCAACTTATGCAAAAGAAGTGCGCAAAATGGAAGGGTACGCAAGAACGGTTAAGGCAGTTGGTATAAAGAAGCAGAGAAAGTGGCTGAACTGACAAGGAGCCTGATATGCAGAAGAAGTCATCTTGGATTGAAATCTGGATAACAGAGCCCCAAAGACTATGTACAAGTTTCAATTTAAGTTAATGACGTATTGCCAACCCCAACCAATCTAACACATGTCATGAGGGACGACCCAAACTGTAATCTCTGTTGTTATTTACTAGAAATTACAGTGCAGGACAGTGGTAGGACAGAAGTGAATTAAAGAAGCTCATGAGCTGAAACTGAATAAGTACAAATATATTGTTGCTAACTGGCAACAACGCTACTGGAGAGTATGGTGTCTCCTGCTGCATGGAAGTTGGATGCCGTAGATGTGTATGCGAAGGGCCTTGCGGATTGTCTCTGTAACAGGCACCGAGACGGCAACTCAATGGGCACTTGGGCAAAGATGCAGGAATGATCGACATCCATGTGGATATGGAAGAAGCGAGAGGAGTTGTGGAAAGAGCAAAACTAAGACTCTATGTTTCAGCAATGAATGAACTTTCAATGTGTTGCAGTGAAGGCGGGGAGCTGAGTGATTTCGAGCTAGGACTTACTCACCCACTCGGCTTTATCACCTGATCCAGTCTGGAGGTTGTAGTTAACAAAACCGAAACAACCGTTGAAGGAGGATCCACATGATGACAGGACCATGACGCATCATATACCATCAAGATGTATACAGGTTATATATATATATATATATATATATATATATATATATATATATATATATATATATATATATATATATATATATATATATATATATATATATATCCGTCATTATCAACAATTATTAGCAAGTTTGCACATAATCTTGTGAATAAGGCCGTGCAATCAGTGCAAAATACTTGTATAGAACCGCAATCAATAAAAGATCACAGTAGAGAATATCATATTAAAATTAATTTAATGATGTATGCACGTCCCTATCAATTAGTTATTATCTATTTTAAAGAAAATACATTAATTTGAAAAGAATAGTAAAGTTTTATTCTTATTTCAGTATTCTTGTTTACGTGGAACTTGGTATTTTTCGTTTGATTGACGTATTCTTTAATATACATGTATACACTCTCTCACAAACTTACTAAATGTGACTAACTTTTTTTTTTTTTTTTTTTTTTTTTTGCAAAATTTTTTAATAACATAAATTCGTATTTTATTTTGCTAGTATATCATTATGTTTAAAAATAAACATTGTTATAAATTGTTTGATGACAAATATTAACTTTCTGATTAAACTAAAAGACAAAATAACCAGAAGTTTCTGTCGAGACTGTAGCTCTACTGGTTTATACTTAAAACAAAGGAAGAGAAAAGTAGCACTTGGGACTTGAAACTTTAAAACAGCAATAAATAGAAAGATGATCCTTGCCGCTATCAAAATAAAAACCGATGCACAGAACTATGTATCTTCGTATAGTCTACTTGTGTGCCAAGTTATATTGATATCAGACCAAAACTGTAGGAGGAGTAGCATTTTGAAAGAATTGTACAGAAATTTCTATTTTTAGTAACCATGGCAACACCGTTCATCGAAATAAAAAAACCGATGCACAGAATTATGTATCTTAGTGTAGTCTACTTGTGTGCCAAGTTATATTGATATCAGACCAAAACTGTAGGAGGAGTAGCATTTTGAAAGAATTATACAGAAATTTCCATTTTTTGTAACCATGGCACCACCGTTCATCGAAATCAAAAGCCGATGCACAGAATTATGTATCTTAGTGTAGTCTACTTGTGTGCCAAATTATATTGATATCAGACCAAAACTGTAGGAGGAGTAGCATTTTAAATGCATTTCACAGAAATTTCTATTTTCAGTAACCATGGCAACACCGTTCATCGAAATCAAAAACCGATGGACAGAATATTGTATCTTATTGTAGTCTACTTGTGTGCCAAGTTATATTGAAATCGGACCAAAACTGTAGGAGGAGTAGCATTTTGAATGCAATTCACAGAAATTTCTACTTTTAGTAACCATGGCAACACCGTTCATCAAAATCAAAAACTTATGCATAGAATTATGTATCTTAGTGTCTACTTGTGTGCCAAGTTATATTGATATCGGACCAAAACTGTAGGAGGAATAGCATTTTGAAAGCATTTCACAGAAATTTCTATTTTTAGTAACCATGGCAACACCGTTCATCGAAATCAAAAACCGATGCACAGAAATATGTATCTTAGTGTAGTCTACTTGTGTGCCAAGTTATATTGATATCAGACCAAAACTGTAGGAGGAGTAGCATTTTGAAAGCATTTCACAGAAATTTGTATTTTTTAGTAACCATGGCAACACCGTTCATCGAAATCAAAAACCGATGCACAGAATTATGTATCTTAGTGTAGTCTACTTGTGTGCCAAGTTATATTGAAATCAGACTAAAACTGTAGGGGGAGTAGCATTTTGAAAAATTGTTTACAGACAGACAGACGGACAGAGAGACAGACGGACGGACGCCGGACGCATTACTATCGCATAAGCTCTTCTGGTCTCTGACCAGTAGGGCTTAAAACGTTTTAATTTTCATGAAAATCAGTGTCATCCAAATCCTGCTCCAACATCACTGTAAAGATAAAAAAAAATTATTGTCTCCTCAACATTCGAATCTGCGTTTTACTGTTACTCGTATCAGAATAAAACTCCTGATAATTCAACAATATAAAATCAACAACTAGGACATACGACAACATAAAAGACAACAAAATTGTTGTTGGTTATCCAAGTTCGTTTCTAAAATCATTGGCACCAAATTATTTTTTTATTTTACAAAGTTAATCATTTCGGATATCCTTTACAGCTGTCGTTGCCGTCTGCTTTTCATGTGGCATGTCTTTCTTGCTAGGAATAATGATTTCCGGCATTTTGACAATAGGCATGGCCAAACCACGTTTGTAATGGTCTATGGGAGCTATTTCCCCTGGCATGTCCTCCGAAATATTGTCCACACAGAAGTTGTATTCGTCGTCTTTTCCGGGGGCAGTTTGTCCGTCCTCCACCATTCCTACCAACCAATACGCCGTTACGTCCCCTTTGTTCTAAAAGAAATAAAATCATCGGATAACTTTTATATGTTTTGGGGTATACCAGAAAGAAATATGGTTATAAAGCGAAATTTACTCTCTCGTAATTAGTATTTTTAAATTTATTGGTTTTTCCTAAAAAAAAAAAACAACATCTTGTCATTAGTATCAGAGACACTACATGAGTCATTTTGTTAGAGTGAGGCGATTATAAGTAATATGCTTTCAGATGATTTCAAGAAATATGAATGATTTTAAGAGATTGGGGTTAAATACTGTCTGCTCACCATAGCGCTTATGGTCCCTCGTTTCTTCATGATGAATTTACCCGTTGATTCCAAAGCTTTGCAAGTTGATTGGGTGATATGAATCTTGTTTGCTGCAAAATATCAAGGAAATAGGAATACTAGTATAATCTATTGTATCCAGATTGGATAGAAGTCACCCAGATTACCCAGTACATGTACGGGGCGATTAATTAGTCACAAGTATGATACAGCTGAAAATTGGACAACTGCAACTGCACTAGGTATATATTACAATGTTCATCAAAAACTAGAAATTCCTTTTATGGAGTACGAGCGCTTGTAGGATGAAGAATGAGTGACAATCACTTCAACCTGACGGAATTCTAAGAAAACAATATCTTGTACTACGACAGACGTGTCTCACTTCGGCATACAGCCCAGGTGAGCTAATAAAAACTTACGGTGACAGCTAGCCTTCATAATGTGAGCGATATCTAGCGTTTCCCCAAAGACACCATATCTTGGCAAAATGGATCCCACAATACCAGCCATACATGGTCCTAAATTTCAAACAAAAACGAAGTTGTGAGCGTTTATGATTCTTAAAGCTGTGTTACTTAGAACAAAGTTGAATAAGTGCAGAGGTAAGAGGTTGGATTGACAGAAAAAGCCGGGACCAGTATATTATATCGTATTAAGTGGCTACAATTCGATTTTTATGTTGGGACGTTTGGCTACAATATTTTTCTCTGATACAATTTTAGTTGATTCATAAGATTTGTGTGACCTTTCAGGCCTATGGACATTTTTTTTGTTTAGAGAAGTGCCTCTGGAGAGGTTCTAGAATGTGATTACAATTCAAACTTAGACTGTCTGCTATCGGAAGCACACCCGGAAACCTTTGTAGGTTTTTACCTGTATTAATTCCTATCCTTAGCTGTATCATTTTGTCATTACAGGTACTAAACCGTGTCTGGTTAATGACAGTCAAAAGATTCAGGGCAAACATGGCGATGTCACGGGCATGCATATCATTTTTCCTGTTGGGCAAACCTGAAATTAGAAATAATGACCTAAAATTGTGGAAACTCTTGTACATTTTGACATGTTCAATAAAGATGTTCTCGAAAAACAAACTGGCGTCAATTTATATGTGCAAAATTAAAAACTGTCAAAAACAATCTTTTATGATCCCATTTAAAAAGACAAAATTAAATTTTTAAAACATTATTTGCAGTTCAATGTGAACATTTTCAAGTATAATTTAATATCCAAGAATATCAGAGGTGAAATACCTGATGCTACCATATACGCGTCATTAGTGGCATTGACTTTATAAATATCGTATGTATCAATAATGCTATCGATTATGAAGTAAAGTTCATTCAAAAGTTCCACAACATCACCAGCTTTAAATTCATCCATAATGTTGTTGAATTTGAACACATCCGAGAACAGAATGGTCGCCGATTTAAAGTACTGCGCCTCTATGGTTTTGTTCTGCTTTAATTGTTCTGCGACAGGTTTTGGTACAAGTTGGTAGAGAAGAGAGTCTATGCGTCTTTTTTCACGAGTTAGTTCTCTGGTTTTGTCTACCAGTGTTAGAGCATATTTTTGGATGCTGCTGGTTAAGTTTTCGGTCGTCCAAATGACAAAAGGACACATAAGAATAACAATCACAAGGAACGCAGCGCTTATTGTAAGGTTGCTTGTTACGTTCTCAACAACAGTGTCTAAAATGGCCAAAATTTCTGAGCCAAGATCTTGCTGGATATTCAGAAGAGCGTCCAGGTAAATGGTCATGTTGTCAAACCAATGTCTAGCCTTCGCTAAATCAGCAAAGGCGCTGGCATTACTTCCCTCAACATGATGTTGTATGTCGAATCGGAACTGGTCAATGATTTCGGTAAGGTTGTTTCCAACCTCCTGCACGGTGCTTGCATAAATCATGTCAACTCGCTCCGAGTAAAGTTTGGCAGTTTTATAATATGCCCTAAAATTGTGGACTTTTGTATTATACATCTCGAAAAATGAATGCGATTCAAAACCTCCATTGGCATAAAATACAGTTCCAAGTGCTCTTTCTGTACCCACGTCCTCTTTAGCACTGGTCAATTTCTGGTATGCCACAAGAGGTTTCCATACCACAGCGAACTCTGTCTCGTTAATGGAATCATACATCCACTTTATCACCACTTTGATGATGTCTGTATAAAAGTTGATTTCGTCTTGAATATTGAACCCGTCAGAGGGAGTCAAAGCTTGTCTTCTCCTAGCTAAATATTGGATCATGTTGGTTTTTGTTTCAAAACGCAATCTGTCCAGTTTATCCAAATTCCCAGGCCAAACTTGCAGACGATTAATTGCACGATCTGTTTCAATATATTCCGTAAGTAAAAACGTCTTAGTTTCTGGTTTTAAAGCACTAAGGTATAACACACTCATGTCCCGTTCTTTCTGTAAATGATGTACAAGTTTTCCTAACTCCACACTGAATTCTAAAGCTTTCCTCGTCTGAAATAAAAGAAATCACTTAAAGAAAAACATGTATTTCTTAGTGTTTATTATAGTCGAAGCTAAATTTTTAAAAATCTTTTTGATTATTTTTATGAAATACAGCAGAATTTTTATACACGTTCATCGTTGCAAATTTGATGATTATACAATAATTTTACGGAGGGTGATTGTGGTGAGTAGAAGTTAGAATCGATAGCTATATGTTATTTTTTAAAAAAAAACTTTTAATCAGTTTGGATTATTTTTATGTTTCTCAAATACAGCAGAATTTTTAATTTTTTTTACTTTATCATTTGACAATCTATATTTTTCAATAAAATAAAAAATTAATTTTGAACATGAATGGGTCAAATCTCCATTTTTTCGTTAACTCTTAAATGATATAAATATGAAATCTATTTCATTTGCCTCCATTCTTTATTTACCATTTCATTTTCGCTTCTGATGGTGATGGTATCAGACAACATATACACACTATAAGACCACACCCCTAACACGGGGAGGACAGTCAAACACAGCATCTTCATCAGCTGAAGCTTTTTACCAGAATCCGTCAGCGGTTCATCTCTACACAGACCTGGTAAATGTACAAACGTAAATTAGGCATTGCCGGTATTTGAAATAAGTTTTATGTCTGTTTGTGTGTTTTTCATGAAAACAAAGCATATATATGATGGTATGTGATCATCATTAATCTCTACGCTGTAACATTAACTTTCGTGTATTTTGTGGTAGATTTCATCAATAAATTGCTTGAAGATTTATAATATATGAATTAAATTATTTGATATATCAAAAATTCCTTTTATTGAAATCACAAATTCGAGATTTTTTAAAGTTATGTTGAAAAGAACAGCTGTTTCGTCGCTAAAATACGTTTAAATTATTTGTATTGAAAAATTTTATCATTGTTTCACAAAATGGCGATCGATATTTATAATCACTTCTCACAAAAAAATCTGAAATCATTTATTTATTTTAAAATTATTACGAGTATTTACGAAAAAAATTTGTTAACTTTAGTTTTTAAAAAAATCATTTTATGTTACTAGCATATGAATTTTTTAGCACGATAAATTAACCATCATTTAATTTTACAGCCAACCAACCACTAAGATACATGTAAATGTATATCAAAGAATTATAATAAAAAATTTTCAAAGAACCTTGCTTCAGTTCAATATTAATTTCTTGCAAGGTCATTGTAGAACTTAATCGTTATTTAAATAAATTAAAACGTACGGCAACTTTTGATGAATATTTAGAAAAAAAATTCTGATTAAAATATTTATCATTTTATACACCAAAAACGCTCATTTCTGGTGCAAGAAAATACAGTAAAAAGAAGTTTTTGTATAAACGTTTTTTTTTTGGGGGGGGGGGTGTTAAAAAGTTTTATTTTTTTCTGATATCAAAAATTAAAAAAACAGGATATAATTACTCTTTAATATTCAAATATGATTCGCACCTCTTCCAATTGCAGATGGTAAAATAACATCTTGAACATCCGCGCTACTGCATTCACTGGCCAGATCACGCAGGGACGGCATCCGCCTAAATAGTGCCTCTTTCTTCTCGGTCCGGGAGTCCTGCTTCTCCAGTTTTACCTCCAAGTTGCTCATTTTCAATATCTTTAAAAATCTTTGAAATAATAATAGTTATATCTATTTACCAGTACTCAAAATTAATAGAGAAGGGGGGGGGGGTTACCTAAGTTGTACTTGTGTTTGGTATTTGTACACCATTGCATGCATAGGGACTATATTTATAAGATAGTTTTGACTCCCAAAATCTTAAGGTTGCAATTAAAGAATATTTGGTTGGAAGAGTTTGGGGTCAATATGGACTTAGTCCTTGTGGTTACATTTACATTTATCGTATATTGAAAAAATCCAAAACTCATCTCACATGATAGTAACGTAGTTCGTATACCACAAGTACATGTATATAAAAAGTACATGTACGAGGGGTGTTAGAAAAGTTCGCGGACAAGATCTATTGTGATCGCGCTATTTCCATGAAACCGGTCAAACTTTCCAGATATAATCTTGACATTTTTTCCAATAAATATACAAGAATTTGGTGCTCTCCGGTGATTATTGAAAAATATACGGCATTTTTATTTTGATAAATCTTGCTTAACGGAGCATGCTGCATTGTGGCACGTTTACATCACAAAGACTCTTTATTAAAATTAAAAATTGCACAATTGTAGTGCCAAGAGATTTATGATATTTTACCTGCCGCTAAAGTATGCAGGAAACGTCACTGGGAAAAATTTTGAACTAAATTGGAGGGTATATGGCTGTTTTATAGCTGTTTATAAATGATCAACGCGTAAGAACACAGCCAAAAATCGGAACGTCATTGAGCGTCATGGAGCAGTGCACTACGTAAAAATTATGTGTGCAGACAGGAATATGTCTAAAAGGAGACTAAAATGTTTAAGATGCTGCCGGGAATATCCTACACATACAAAGAACAAGTTTTCAAATGGTTGTAGCTTCATAAGAATGGAAGGAGAAACATTTTAAATGATTAACTACATCGATACTTCAATACCCCTCTATCGCATGGACGTTGCGTTTTGCCTATGTTTTGCATAGTTTCCATACCTGATCGATTGAATGCACAGCCTTTTTATTTTTTAAGATCTCAATAATATCCGAAACAGATAAAAAGACATTATAGTTGAAAAGTAACATGTCTTGATATAGATATTCAATTTTAAAGTAGAAAAAATATGAGAAAAATATAAAGAAATTAAAGATTCATAGAACTGCGACAAAGCTTAAAGGGTTGAAATCTGGTTGTCACGTCGCCTTACGTCAAGTGATTGCTCCGTGAATCCCATAACCCCATAGTAAAAATAGTTGTAAAATTTTAAGATTTTATTATATTGACCTGATTTTTTACATACCAATAAAAACAATATGTAGGAATTCATTCTGTCATAGGTCATACTTCACAGTAAACAATAGATTTTCTGTAATTCAATGTGTCCGCGAACTTTTCTAACAACCCTCGTATACTCATTGAATATTATATGTACTACAAAATTGTTATCATGGTATAGACTTTAATTTCTTTCAAAGTACGTTTTTTTTCCAGGATGACTTGCACTAGCATATTCTTTCTTTACTAAAAGAAAGAGGGCGTATAAGGCGTGGACAATCTCCCGCTCTGAGACAAAATATTTCTCAATTTTCACAATTCACAGAAAACTTATATTTTTCTAAAATCATGTTCTCAGTCATCGTCGCAAACCACGGCCAAAATGTACGATCCTCTCCCATTCTGGGGAGAGAGAGCTATATGCGGACTTCGGACCGTGGCCTGAGACGATGGTTCTCAGTAATGTCATCTTCAAAACATTTTATCATTTTATTTTACTGAACGACTTATTATCTGAATATCTTTATTTCAAAGTTGACAGTTAAGTATATTTAGTGGAAAATGGGTTTACTAGAGCTATAAAAATGAATTTTGAACATGAATGGGTCAAGTCTCCATTCTTCGTTAACGCTTTTAAAATGATGGAAACGTACCGGTAAATATGAAATCTATTTCATTCGTCCTAAAAATTGAATCTGAACCCATTCCATATGAAAATCAAAAATTTCTGGAAAAAATTGTATGCTTCAACAAACCCGTTCATTTAAATCACACTGACAGACGTTGATAATGCATATACTTAGTAATGGTTAAAGCAGTAATGGTTAAGACCCAACCCTGCGCTATGGAGAGGGTTCGAATCGTACGTGAAGCTTTTTCTTTTTTGTTTTCACATATCTTAAAAACAAGAGTGAAAAATGAATTATTAATAAAATATTAAAACAATGAAATACAGAATTTAATGTGTAAAAGATGATATAAACAATATAATTTTAAAAAATATAACTTTTAGAATTGAGAAATGTCTTTTCTCAGAGCGGGGGATACTCATATATACATACAGTGTCTTAAGTAAAAGTTATATGATTCCAAATTCCATATTTTTTTTTACTACATATATTGAATTAAGTAAAAAAAATCCTTACCTTGTTGATCGTTTGTACTCAGAAACTTTTATGTTTTGTAACTTTAAGAGCAAGATATTGATTTATAAATTACCCTAAAAGTCGCTAACAGTCCGATTGTCCAGTAATAGTTGTAAATGGGCAATTCTGGTCGTAGTTTGTACATGTTACCATGACAACAGATGTTAATATACTGCATATATATGTTTTTGTCCTAAAAGTTAAAACTAGTATTATATGTGATACCCAACGCATGCCTGTTGGATGCCTGTTTTCGTTTTAATGGGGGGGGGGGGGGGACAAACAGACATTATCAGGTTAGGAGGGGGTCACTAGATACAATTGCAAGGTATCAAGCAAATATTTTCTGGACGAGGGGAATTAACGGAGCTCAGTATTTTTCTGTAATTTTATAAGGCCAACCTTAAAAAATCTCTTGTTTGCATGCGGTTGTCGACTTATGATTCTTTTGAATTGGTACATGTATAGGTACATGTAGGCATTTATTTTTTAAAGATTTAGTTTTTAGATTTTTGGTGGATATTATTTTTATTATTTGTAAAGTTTACTTTTATAATTACAAGATCCACTTAATAAAAACCATTAATCGATGAAACCAAAAATAGAAAGTGTAATAAAGGCGGCCCCATACCCCCCTGTTTACTTTGTTGGCGCCTGTGATCATTTCCTGGATCCGCGCCTGATATACATCCATTAGATCGCCAAATGCTACCTCCCGACCCCGGTTCCATGCATACTCCTTGCTGTTTATAATGAACGATGAAATTCAATCCGTTTTCATTCTAGATCAGTGGGTATAAAATAAAATTTATTATTTGGTAATTAAAGTTGATAACAAATGCAAGTTACAAGTAGGTGTCACTTCTTCACAATCTTGGCATCATCTGCACTCTCGTGTATGCAGTGTATATATTGTAAATGAATAACATAAAATTTATGTTAAAAGAACTTTAATTTTTAATTTCAATATTTATATGCATGTGCAGAAGTTTGATGTTTACTTTTTATGCTAAACAATCAACCATGTATTTTGAATTTAGCATTTCAGAATAATACTGAAATAAGCAAAAACAAAACAAGACCAAAAAGAATAATATAATATATATATAAACAGCTGGGGTTAGATTTGGTGGAGGGCACCAAAAAACCAACAAAAAGTAGTCAAAATACATGTAGTGACACTACATGTAATCGATTATAAGATCGGGATCGTAGTCTGTAAAGTAATTCGTACCTTCTCGGATTTTTTCCAGTAGAGTAGCGGAAATTACCAAAACGTTACGAATAGTGGCAAAATGTCAGCCTTCAGTTTTACAGACAAGTTTGTATTTCCACCCGCATTTGAGGCATTGTAAGTGTTTGCTCTTGTTCTTTTTAATGAACACCTATGAAAATGCCAATTATATTGTAACAGCTATGTAAAAAATGATGATCATAGCTGTTTGTTTCTTTTTTTCAATGAAATCTAACGGCATCATTGAAGATAATGTGCAGAATCTAAGTGTAAAAAAAAAATAACTTTTCATCGTAATTTATAGTGTTTGAAATAACCAACTTTGAGGCAGTGATTTAATTAATTTCTGTTTGTAAATTCTGCAGTCATATTCTATCAAAACTTTATACTCTTGACTTTTCTCAACTAAGTGACTGTGACAGTCTGCTTCTTATTTCACAGGAGTGTACCAAACTCGGAAAGTAAAGTTTGTGTAATATCTGTCATTGGCAAGAGCGCATACCATACTAATGCTTCCAAAGCATCAACGCTTAATCATATTTTGGACAGGGATGTTTTCAAGGTAATGGAAGAAAATATTTCAGACGTCATGATGAATGTTTTGACCGATTTATTATTTACCTGTTTACAGAGATTATCAATGGCAAAATACAAAGTCTTAATGAAAAATGCGTAAATTCGGGTGCGTCGATTTACCCTAAAGGACCCAAAAGGACCCAAAAGAACCCAAAAGGACCCAAAAGGAACCCAAAAGGACCCAAAAGGAACCCAAAAGGACTTTAATTAATCTATCATAATACACTGAAAATTAATAATTTGAAGTAAATCACGAATATTATATTATATTTTTACATAAAAGTTGGCAAAACATACTTATATTGTTCATAGACCTAAGGCGAAGTATTGTTGCAACTGTAACAATAACATACAAGTTTTCAAGCACATCAAACACTAAATCTGGTCAGGTATGCTTTGATTTCTTTTAGCTGAAATTAACAAAGTATTAATCTACTTCTCTTTCTTTTTACCATATCTTACTATATGATATTTAATAAATGAAAAAACTTTTATTTTATGACATGTTCTAGGGATTTTGGTGTCGGGGATGTGTGGGGGTGGTGGGTGGTGGGGGACCTCCCACCCCCACCCTAAACGCACACTTTACCCTCGAAAAACTAGTTTAAGTTTTAATAAAATATGAAAATGTTTATTATATATCCATTTATTATCTTTTATTCAAGTCCTTTTGGGTTGTTCTTAATTTCCTTTTGGGTCCTTTTGGGTTCCTTTTGGGTCCTTTTGGGTCCTTTTGGGTTCCTTTTGGGTCCTTTTGGGTCCTTTTGGGTAA